CCCCCCTCCGCCAATCCCTCCACTGGCTTCCATCCCCCTTCCCCCTCTGCCAATCCCTCCACTGGTTTCCATCCCCCTCCACCCTCTGCCGATCCCTCCACTGGCTTCCATTCGCCCAAAGGATAAAAGTCAAAATATTAACAACCACTTACACTATATACACTTGAGACTATATCTCAAACCTTGTCTCAAAGTATAACCCTAATCGTCCGCTCTTCCTAAGACCTCCTGCTTTCCAGCTCCCTAGCCAACTCCTCCCATGCTTGCCTCCAGCACTTCTGTAGACTTTCTCCCATCCTCTGGAACTCTTTACCCCAACCTGTCCGTCTGTCTGCCACTTTGACTGCCTTTAGGCGATCCCTTAAGACTCATCTCTTCAGGGAAGCCTATCCCACTTCAACCTAACCGCTCAACCATCACGTTCTCAAACATTCATCCCCACACAGCTACCTCCTCATGTGTCACAGGCCCCTCCTCTTTTAGATTGTAAGCCCTCAGGGGCAGGGCCCTCCTTACCATCTTGTCTTAAATTGTATTGTGATTGTAATGCCTTCTCTATATTGTAAAGCGCTGCGCAAACTGTTGCCGCTATAAAATCCTGTATAATAATAATAATAGTATTTTAGAATGTAAATTATAATATGTTAAAATTATTATTGTCTATGAATACGTTATAGTTCAAGACATCCCCCGCAGTAAGGGTACCTGCGCTCCATTATTATAATTCACATGAACTTACTGACCTTTAAACCAGCAGCACAATTCATAAGACGGAGCAATGCTGGAGCGTGGAATGAGTGAACCTCTCTGAGCGGATCTCAATCTAGTATCATCGAGGAGGAGCGGAGGAACGATATAATTCCCGAGTCTGACTCTTCCAGATTAGAGATGTCCAGTTCATGAACGGATCGTTCTTTTGAATCGATTCTTTTCAGTGAACTGGAGGAGTCGATTTTCTTCTGAGTGAGCTGATCCGTGTGAAGCAGCTCAGTGTGACGTGTCAGCGTGCGACGTATAGCTGAGACTCTAGCAGCTCTTGTAACATGATCGTAGAGTGAGAGCCAAGCTTCTGCCAGCCCCGCCCACCCCTGCAACCAATCACATCTCTGAGTCACAGTACACCGAGTCTAAGAATCGAATGAGTCTACTAGTTAAAAGAATCGAACGATGCTACTTAGTTAGTAGACTCATTCGATTCTTTGAGTTAAAGAGTCATCAGAGGAGTTACAGAGTTAAAAGAATGGCGAGTGACCTCCCGTAGAACAATACACGGACTCAATGAGCAGGTTGCAGCGGTGATAAGGGACAGACAGTCAGCAGGGAGATAAGAGAGTTTGGATTAGAGGAGATCCTCATTCAGATCGATGGTTTAACCCTTTAGGATCAAATTGGCTTCTCAAGGAGATTTACACATTTACAGAAAAAAAAAATATATATATATTATAATTTTTTTCAATAAACAATTTTTGGTTTTCGTTTTTATTTATTTTATTATTTTTCACTCAACATTTTTCTTCACTCACATTTATTGATAGCGTTAGTATCAATGTTCCCCCAGGAGCTGCCTGACACCCTTCTCTGAATCAGAGTCCTCCGATTCGGATCTTCTGTGAAGGTTCAGACAGCTCCCGAGCTTTGGTTCACTGGCTTGTCGGCCGACCCCGCAAGTGAATCGAAGATTCCATTCATGAATCGGTTCTTTTGAACGAACTGATTCAAACGGAACCGATTCATTTAAAAGATCCGAACTTCCCATCTTGGGTACCGATCCGGCGCTGGGACTGTGCTGGGCCCCCTAGAGGCCCTGGTGCGTCCGCACCGGCGGTAGTTCCGCCACTGGAACCCTAGCCCCAACCTACATCACCGAACTCATCTCCAAATATCACCCAAACTGTCTTCTCCGCTCCTCTCAAGACCTCCTGCTCTCTAATTACCTCCTCCCACGCTCGCCTCCAGGACTTCTCCAGAACGTCCCCCATCCTCTGGAACACCTTACCCCATTCTGTCAGCCTATCTCCTACGCTGCCCACCTTTAGGCGATCCTTAAAATCCCATCTCTTCAGGGAAGTCTATCCCACCTCAACACAACTGCCTTTTGCTTCCTCCAATAACTCGATCCAAACAATTATTACCTTTTGTATCACTTGCCCCTCCTACTAGAGGGGCAAGTGATAGTGCTTGCAGCATTTTTGCGGCTCGCACTGGACTGGAACACAGGCACTAATGCAGGCGATCGCACTGTGGGCGAGGGGCCTGCCTGCGGAGCCCGGCTGCAGTGCCATTGACATTAATGCACAGCCACGCCCCCTCCCGCCCCTGAACGCAGGTGTTTTTTCGTTGGTAGATCTCAATGAGCTCGTCATTTGAAAAGTAGATCTCCAGACAAAAAATAGTGGGCGCCCCTGGTATAGTGTATTGTACCTGTACTGTCTCCTCCATTTTGTAAAGCGCTGCGCAAACTGTTGCCGCTATAAAATCCTGTATAATAATAATAATAGTATTTTAGAATGTAAATTATAATATGTTAAAATTATTATTGTCTATGAATACGTTATAGTTCAA